GGCGCAGGCTTTGCACTCCTGGAACCCAGCCTGCCAGAAGAGCGCCTCCGCACTATAGTCAATCAGTTGGACACAGATGTGATCATATCCTCTTCTTCAAAGGCCGTGCTAAGCTCACGACTGTGTAAAACAGTCATTGAGATAAATTCAGACGTGGCAGCTTCTCTGGACTCCGCATCTGGCGAGGTGATCTTGCAAAACCCTTCCCGTGTAATGTTCGCAGTGTTCACATCGGGCACCACAGGAAAGCCCAAATGTGTGACACTGACACATAGCAACTTTTGCTCCATGTTGAAACATCAGTGCGAGCTTCTTGGATTCCACGATAAAATCAGGGTCTTTGACTTTGCCGCCTACTCTTTCGACATTGCTGTGCATAATGTCTTTGCTACGCTTGCCTCGGGCGGTTGCCTATGTGTTCCTTCAGACAAAGATCGTTGGGGCAATCTTACAAAGGCTATTGCGGATACGGGGGCCACAGTTGCTGATCTCACGCCTTCCGTGGCGCGCCTCATAGATCCAGCGGGTGTGCCTTGTCTCGAGACGCTCATTCTGGCTGGCGAGGCTGTAGCGCTTGAAGATGTCACTCGTTGGTGGGGTCGCGTGAGAGTAGTCAATGCCTACGGACCTGCAGAGTGTCAAATCAGCACCATAAACGTAGATGCATCGACGCCAGCCGAGACAACCAGAATAGGAAAGGGAGCTGGGTTGTTGACCTGGGTAGTAGACCAGCATGACCACGATGTCTTGGTACCTCCGGGCTACATGGGTGAACTCCTTCTTGAAGGTCCTCTCGTTAGCCGTGGCTACCTTGGTAACCCAGAGCAGACCGCAGTTAAATTTATCCAAGATCCGAAATGGCTCTTGGATGGTGTTAATGGTCAAGCGGGTCGCCATGGAAGAATGTACAAGACAGGCGATCTGGTACGATTCAACCACGATGGAAGCTTGTCTTACGTGGGAAGAAAAGACACACAAGTCAAGATTCGCGGACAGCGAGTTGAACTTGGAGAGATTGAGCTTTACGTCCAGAGGTGCATGGAAGAGATGACGACAGTAATTGCCGAAGTCATCTTACCGCGCGGAGAGACGCCAAGCCCCATGTTGGTCATCTTCCTCGAAGCGACTGAGGGCGTGAAGGTCAATGAGGATACCTCTAGTCCTGCCGACGCCAACATTCTTCCTGTACCTTCGGACATAGGCCTCAAGCTGTCAAAGCGCCTGCCCAGACATATGAGGCCCAGCGCCTTCATCTATCTGCGCAAGCTACCTACAACAAGTACGGGCAAGACAGATCGCCGAGAGCTACAAAGAATCGGAGCAACCTTGTCTGTCCAAGATTTGGTGAGGAAGCAAACTTCAGGGCGTGACTTGAAGAGGCAGCCGACTTCGCATGTCGAGCGGAAGATGCAGGCGATCTGGGCTGACGTTCTAGGCGTGGAGCCAGACATTATCGGATTAGATGATAACTTTTTTCAACTTGGAGGCGACTCAATTGCTGCGCTCAAGGTCGTCAGAAAGGCTCAGCAGGCCGGGATAAAGATGACCGTCATGGACGTCTTTAAGCAACCAACGTTATCTACTCGGCTAGGTACAGATTCTACCTGATACCTTTTTTCTCTGTAATAGACTAGACATGTGCAATTGATATGTTGGTTCCTCAATGAACACACTTTAAATTTGATTGCTAGGTCCCTGTGGCTCAATCCTTCAACGCAGCATTCTCCAGAGCATACAAGGCCTCTTTGATGCTGTCCGAAATACCGTCGAGGTACCTGAATGCAAAGATCTCGAAATGATGCCCCTCGATGTCTGCCACGTTGAGAAACAAATCCTTCTCATACGTGTCCCATCCCAGGTTCCGCTCCTTACGACCCAAGTGCATAGTTCCGTCTCTATCCAGCGGTACAGCTTCCTTAGCCCGGAGCAGGATGATTCGGGGGCGACGCTCTGCAGAGTCTGCATTCCAAACTGGAGGTGTCCACGCATCTATCATGCGGTTCGCGTCGGCCATGGCGCGCTCGGCAAGAATGTGAGACATATCCTCTCCCTCCAGAGATTCTTCACTCTCGGTCTTTGGGGCTGTTCCGTTCAATTGCTTTTGGGGGTAAACGGTGTCGATCATGAGGATGCCAATGACTTTGATGTTGGCGTCTTTGCTATCCAGTTGATGCGCCATTTCCAAGCTCAAGTGGCCGCCCATGCTCCAACCACCAAGAATAACCAGAATCCTCCCATTGGCATCGTATCGCTTAGGGAAGTCATTCTTTCCCACAGCTTCTACGATTAAATCAACGTAGAAACGGGCCATATCGCAAAGCCCACCATCAAAAGGCTCTCCACTGCTAAAGTTGGGGTTATGAATCCCATAAACAGGGCGGTCAAGAGGAGCCAGACAGTGGTAAGAAAATGTTGTACCGCCACCATCATGGATGAGAAAGACTGCGACAGCTTGGTCGTCCTGCGAGGCTGCAGGCTGGATGATTTCTGGATTGGTCTCCATGTCAACAAAATAGATTGAGGCTGAGTTCTTAGATCAGCAGAGAGAACTTAGTGGCCTGAGTCGATAGCTTTACTGCTATGTGAAAGAACGGGTTGACTACCATATTAGTAGTGAAAACAGCCGCCAGGGCATGTTGGGCTCCGTTGCAGGATAGATAATAGAGCTAAATGGCCTAACCGGTGAGTTCTTACCCCTCTTTTAGGCCATTTCAGGCATTAATGTATGTCTCAGGTTTAGTATTAATGTATGATTGATATGTGCTGTCACTTTCTAAATAATAAAGCTTTTTTTAGATCAATATTTTAAGTATTGCCTTAATTATAGCCGAAACTTAGCCTAAATGAGCTTTATATCATCCCAGATTGCTTCCAGCTCCATGACAACGCCATTGTACACCGTCTGGCGAAAGCCATCGTCTTCGAGGCCTTTAGACTCCATACATCCTATGCACCGTTCAACCACTGCCTTATACGCCGGGCTGATCAAGGCTACTCTCTGCTCGAGCATCCGATTTGCAACAGTCAAGTCCTGAATAAGCCCATCATTATCATTACCAGGGCTTTTCTCGTCTGGTAGCCGTAGCTGGTTAAGCGAACAACCGAGAATAATCTCCAGTAATAGCATGCCGAGTGCAAGGAGTGTTGGGTTGCTTGATATTGAGAAGGTTTTGCTTTCCGACGTGTTGCTGACGCGCTTCAGTGGGCACTCGGGGAGTCTCCTCTGTATGAAAGGGTGCTCGTATGACAGCGTGTTTCCTCTCCTGAAGAAATGCACATTCTTTGGCGTTATGGCCTCAGGAAGCCAAGGCGTATTGCTCAGCTGGAGGACGCTGGAGGCGATGACGAGTGCTAATTTGACCTTCTCCGCTAACGATATCAATGGTCGAAGGCCCCGCTTGCCCTCAAGAACATCTTCAAGAGTTACTATCGACCAACCATCGCTGTTAACTACCTCTCCTAGCGGGCAAACCTGGAAGTGGCGGTGGCTGTGTTCTTTGTCGATCAAGTGGCCGTAACAAGCAGGTCTCTCTTTGTGGGCCATTTTCAGAGTAAGACAAAGGTCCAGAGGGCTTATTTTTGGCATGGCGCTGCTTTCTTCAGGACATTTGATGTATGCAAAGTCGGTAGCAGGCCGAGTCATGATAGCCATGGCAGTCTTGACACTGGGCTTGAGCTCCCCCGTAGGTTCCGTAAGACTCAAGCGAGATAGAGCCCGATCAATGCCAAAAGAGACGCGCTTCGCACTCTTCGTCTTTGCAGCCACAACACGTGGCGCGGACGGCGTGGTCATCGATACGGACACCGCCTTGATATTGACTTCATCCCAAAACATCTTGCTCGTCGGGCCCTTGATAACTTCAAAAGAAATGGCCAGTCTGAATTGAGCATCCTGGACGATCTTCTCATCGTCGCACTCATGTCCAATCTCAATGAATCGCGGCGCCAGTTCGAGACTGATATCGTGAGAATCGGTACAAAGAATGCTAGAGCAGAGAGCACGATAGAAGCTCGTTGACAGGTCCCGCAGGACACTGAATACCTTGCATCGAGACTGCTTGCGGCGTCTGGGCTCAAGGCCGACGCTCTGCTGTGTCAGGCCCTCCAGGCTCGTGATGCCTTTAGAGATGGTCTCAAGAGCTTCTTGGTAGTCCTTTCGGTTCAAGCGGTAAAGTAGCTTCTTGAAGTCCCTTGTGACTCGTTTACGTTCAGTCCATTGGACCTGCATGATGTCAGCCAAACTCAACTGATGGCTCTCTCAAGGAAAGGAGCTTCTCACAGTCCCATCGGGTGATACGTCAATCCTGAGCCGGAGCATCACACTCTGTAGGGCTTCTTCGACTTCCTTGACCGTATCTTCAAACGGGCCATACGAGTCCCACAGCCTCCGGCGAATCCTGTCGTTGGTCTCCTTGGCCTGCCAGAGAGGCCCAAATGGATCTTGCAGCATGGGCTCAATATCTCGATGCGATACAACATCGCTTATGAGCTGCTCACAGACGTTGCACAGTCTCACTCGTTCAGTTGACAATTGCCGATTGAGACTCCTCAGCTCCGCTGGAGCCTTGCCCCAGTCGCGTAGGAAGTTACTGTAGGCTTCCAGGGCTGTGACGACTAGGGGGAGCGTCCCAAGGACTATACCTGCAACCTCGAATCCTGACATTGGTCGTTTCTCATTCCCGTGTTTTTTTAAGGTTGTCGATTGACAAAGCGGAGAGCCCTGTGAGCGGTTACTGAGGCTGACGGAGCGGCCATCTCACGACCTGCATACACCCATGCCCAGTCCAATGACAGAGCCGCTTTCAAGTAACCCCGCACGATGCTGAGAATGGCAATGTACGCGAGCTCGGCCTGGTGGACTCTCAACCGAACTTGTTGGCTCTGACCTCGTTTCGAGTCTTTGTTACGCACTCGATGCCCGATCGCAACGGAGCCCAACAGCACTGATCTAGGAACAGTCGGCCTCCAGGAAACATCCTTGCTCATGGCCACTCATCGCCATGGAGAGCAACCAGGATCGAATGCCGATTGCGCACAATGTCCGAAACGTGCTCAAGTCTTTCCGGACGGTTGCAACATTGTTCAAGCACGAAATTGATTCTCTGGATTATCAGGCCGAACACGACTTGTTACTAACCTTGGAGAATGAAAATACCCGTTTTGGGATGTGGGCCGGGAACTTAGCAGCTCATCAGAGTGGCCCAGCATCACTCGATCATCGGTTGAGAGAGGCACCCCATATACGAGAGCAGGTCCTCTATCTTCTACGCGATATATTAGAATCCCTAGAGGATGCAAGGTTAGAGGTTGTACGCAACACCGTGGCGTCCACGCTTCCAGAACATCTCAAGGGATCTGGGGTGATTGATGAGGACAATCGATCTGATATGGCCATGTCTGAGACGTCGTATGCTACTTCAGCTGGCTATTTAACGATGGAAAATGGAGAGATGAAGCCGGCTCCTCCACTGAAAGTTCCTCCACGACCACCTGAGGCAGACAGGGGAGTCTTTGAATGTCCATTCTGTTACAGGATGATATCAGCAAGTACCCGAGGGGCATGGAAGTAGGTGATGTTCTGTTGTCCATCTGCTTATCTCTAACACTGCTCACAGGCGCCACGTCTTTGGAGACCTCCGCCCGTACACCTGTCTCTTCTCGAGGTGTGCCGAATCAAATACAGACTTTGATCGACGGCATAGATGGCAACTCCACGTCTCCCAGTATCACTGGCGTACATGGTCTTGTCCATTTAACTGTGGTAGCACGTTCCAGTCTGGGGTTGAACTCAGGGACCACATTCGCCATAAGCACTTGCCAAACGCGAGCGATGAGCATCTCAACACAGTTGTGGCTCGCGGCGAGGTATCTGTCTCCAGTGATGTCACTCAAGAATGCCCTCTTTGTAGGCGAGCTATTTCGGGCTTAAAGTCATACATCAAGCATGTTGGGCGGCATCTTGAACAGTTGGCTCTGTTTGCTCTTCCTAGCATCGGAGATGAGCAGCTGGAGGATGACGTCGACAGTGGCGAGCAGAACGATGAAGCATCCGAGGTGGGCGCCATTTCGGCCGACCATGACAGTGAGACTTCTTCCGAAGCTGAAGATAATCAAGCAGAATCAAACAGTCCCAATACCATGACTGTCGGACACGACGGTGAAGCCGACGTCACCGCTGGCGAGATGTCAGGTGGCGATGCTCCTGTGCCATCGGCGGCCTCTTCTATCTCTTCTGGTCGGCATGAGATGGAGCCAGACGAGATTCGAAAACTCGTACAAGACGGAGATATCGCCAAGGCCTTATTGGCCGAAGCTGAGTCCAGGTTCACCAAAGAATGGGAAGAGACCAGAGATGTGTCAGAATCTCTTAAGTGGTTCAAGAACGTACAAAGAGTAACCAAAGCCATGTTTGAGGAGTCCGCCAAGTCCGCCGAGCAGGCCCCGGTTGGGTTCAAGGAGCAAGAAACACCTCCAACTGATCCCTCCGAAGAAGCCGGGCCAGCTGCACAAGTTAGTCGGCCGACCTATACTCGCTTTTCTCGTAGGCATCTATCTATCGAGACATTGCGAGAGTTCAATATTAACTTCGACTTCGACGCGGACCCTGACTACGTCTTGGTCGAGCGGTGGGTGCCCGAGTGGGAACAAGACCAGATGTGGAAGCATACTAAACTCATCCGCGATAAACGCGCTGAGACTCTACAGGGGGAGTCGGTATGTCAGACAGGTGAGTCTGACTATGAACGGGTGCGCGACAGGGGCAGCCGGCATCCCGAGGCACCACCTCCACTACCTTCTGTCGGCGATCACCAGCGTATCCATATTAGGGCCATCAATCGCGAAAGTGGTACCCCTCCATCTCCATCTCCATTACCTCCACCGTCAATCCTCCAAGGACCGACCATTGGGTGAGAACTTATTACACACTACCGACATATCAACCACGGTAAGTCCTGGGTGTCTACGTTTGACTATTTAATAACCCTAGCAGCAACTTGAAGTAACCCGCCCAAGGAGAGGCCGGCTTAACCAGTTACTAATTACTGGAAATGCGTAAGCCACACTCTGATTCGATTGAAAGGTTCTATGGGTAAGTGTAATATATCGTTATTAGTGTCGCTGTCTTCAGACTTGGGATTGGGCATTATATACTATTTACACGGACTGCAACCATATCCGATGTATTACTTGTACCGTTATTATACATTAGTATATATAATACTTATAGGGATTATTTGATATTGGGATGATTGAGATGATAGGCAGACGTATGGACAATTTGACAGCGCAGGACGATAGGTAACAAGAGAGGGATTTCAACGCCAAAGCAAATGCAGACATGGAGGTCGAGGTAAAGGTGTGTTAGGAGCGGCTGGAGAATGATCTCTGGAGAGCTGGGCTAGAGGGGGCTGCTTTTAACGCCATCCTAAAGAAGGATAAGATAAAGGCCACAGAGGTCCTAGAAAGATAAGGAAGGGGCAAAAAGTTATTTTAGAAAATAAACTTAACTCATCAGTCTCATCTCTATCCTGTTCTATTCACCGTCAAGAAGTCGGCTACGCGGTTACAATGCCAGACAGTCGTATCAGAGCGACGTAACGCGATAATCTGAACCACCTCAAGGAATGATGGATGGGAAACGCCATGTGTTTGAAGGGCTCCTCCATCATCGCATGATGCCACACAATCGATTTCGCCGACTCGTGCTACAGTCAAGGCTGACAGGGTCTCAAAGAGTAGCGACATCTACTCATCTGCCTCGCGGACCCCACGGCACAGTCATGGAGGTGTTTTGTGATTTAAAGGGAAGAGATCAAATACTTTAATGACGGCTTCTATGTTAGCAATACCTTGATGTAACAACAGTGAGTTTCGATTGAAGATGCCCTCCTGCTCTTGAAAATGATAAATTAAACACATGTTTAAACCCATCCTTGAACGTTTTATTAAGACATTCACGACCTAACATAGCTATGGAATATTTTAGAAGCAGATATCTGTATGCGGTAGGCGATAATAACCCCATCCGCTCGGCACGCTCGGTCCGACTATTCGGGCGAGGGGAAAGTGGCTCCAGTTACGACGTTTAAAACAGAGTACTGCAGCACAACACTTCTATCTCCAACTAGATAGCATTATATCTGCTTCAAACAATTCTCAAGACACACAACCATTTTATTATCTAGAGATATTACTGCCGAATTTCAACGATAAGTACAACAAATACTCATTTCTTAGGATGGCTTAGGTTCAAGGATACTGTGATCCCCGGTTTTCCAAAATCCGCGAAATGATGCAAGATCATTGCATTCGGACAAGATATCGGTGCCAGTCTTTGCGTCAATATCGATGGTGAGGACGTTGTAGATATATGGGGGGACTACGCCGATGGTAGGGAAGCTGGTGCGAAGGAAGGCGGAAATTTCCATCGATGAATTCATTAGGGAGGAGATTTGTCGACCGTTGGGTGTTGGAACGGACTTTCAACTAGGCTGTCGCAAGGAAGACTGGGGTCGCGTAGCTCCCGTTATGCCTCCACCTGGACCTTCGATCCAGGAGGTACTCAGTTCACAAGCGGGATATGATCCAGACTCCATCGTCGTGCGAACGCTCTGTAACCCCTCACCCAGGGCAAAGGACGCCAACACGGTGCTGTGGCGATCCAGTGTATTGGGTTCAGTCAATGACCACAGAAACGCTAGGGCACTAGTCAAGATCCTATCGTGCTACTCACTCGGCGGTACTTGCGCGGGAGGTGATCATCGCCTTCTCATTCCTGAGACGGTGGAACTTGCCCTTACAGAACATGCGAAAGGGACGGATTTGGTCACAGGGCGGAGCGGGAGGCGGGGACTTGGGATTTATCTCACTGGGCCCGGGTCTGGGATCGTCGAAGATCAGCTGCCGGACGGCAGGGTCGGGTGGGGAAGTGGATGGGGCAGGTCGATCGTGGTTATGGATTGTGATAGAAGGCTCACGATTACATATACGATGAACAGGATGCTGAACACAGTACATCCTTCCCCAGCTGCATATATTGAGGCTATTTATAACGTACTTGGGGTTACTCTCCCTAGTGCAATATAATGCCCCTCTTAGCTTACTACTTGACTAGCATTTCTTCGACGTTCTTATGTATAGATATAGGCCATATAAGTCGGCAACTATAACAGTAAGGAATGACTTAATAGACTTAAATGCAGTAAAGTTTTAGAATGTTACTATGTATGAAAGCTAGGAACTGATGCTGTAGAGAACAATGTTCTTGAATAGTATTTAACACTAGAGTCAGGTTAGTAATATATTTCATCTCCCCAAGACGCCTTATACTAACACAGAGGATCTGTTTAATAGTTAGTAATTATTATTCCAGTCGCGTGAGTAGTAACTTACAGTTCCAACGGCACCCTGCCAGTTGCATCCTCGTCCTAGAGTGTCTGCATTAGAGCAAGTGTAGCGCCTGATAGGGAACGCTGTTGGTTCCGGGTTCTCGCCCCTCGTGCCAGATAAAGTGCCCTCACATACGGTTAACCACGTTCAAAAAGCAGAATGATACTGTACAATTAACATACACAGAAGTAATGGGCATTCGTAGCACAGTCGCTGCTGACGTGATCGGCGGGCTTGGCCCAACCGCTGTTTGTCCACCAGGGATAATTGGCCGACACGGCGGGGAGGCAGACAATGACGAGACTGAGGAGCTTCATTGTGGCAGTAACGGGAGGAAGTATATTAGAGTTAAGTAACAAGAAATAAGATGGATGCAGGCTGGATGGATTGGTATGTTGGGGCACTACTTATTTATACTAAGAGAGATCATATCGACCTTTATTACTATTTACTCACCGCTGTTAAAACAACTCGGCAATGTGTTTTAGATGGATCCTAAAGTTCACTGGGTAGGGAATAGGACCACATATATTTAATTTAGGGATATTGCCGGCTATTTGAGACCCCCACTTGAGTACCCAAACTAGCATTGCCAGAAAGCATAAAAGATTTAAAAAAAGATTTTACTGGCTTGTCTCTATTAGAGAACTAGCAATGTGGGGTGTTTCTATAAGTCAGTCCACGTCAGGTTTATTAACCGTGCATGTTGAACTTTTTATAATGTCCACTTATACGAGCTCATAAACGAGCTGTCCGTAAACGTTATCCAGCTGAACGATGTCTGTTCGAATTCTGTATAGTGCTGTTCATCATACTTCCTTTTTGTCCGGAGTTTCAGCCAGCTTCAGACGAGAGTCACGCCACTGCAAGCGATTAGTCTGAGTACTATTTGACGTGAACACGGAGTGCAATTTACCTTGCCACATGAAATTGGCTCATAGAGGGGAGGATGCTCATCGTCAACACACGTCGGTACAACCTCACAGACCGCGTCCGGGTTGAACCCGAGAAAGAAAGGCATGGTGTAGCGGGAGGTCTTTTGCCTGTTATACACGCGATGCACCGTGGATTTGAACCGGTTGTTCGAGAGCCTCTGCAGAAAGTCGCCTATGTTGATGACTAGGGTCCCTTCAACTGGCCGTGCGTCGAGCCACTCGTCATCTGCCGAGAGGACCTGCAGCCCACCAGACATGTCCTGCCAGAGCAGAGTCACGCACTGAATGTCCGTATGGGAGCCAATACCCACGTCGACATCTTCGGTGCTGCCGTCGGTGCCGGGGTAGTGAATGTGCACTGCGTCTGCGCCGGGAGTGGTGATGATGGAGTCGAAGTAGTCCTCGGGTAGGTCGAGAGCCAGGGCGAATAAACGGATGAGTTTACGGGCAAGGGCTAGCCGCTTTTGATAGAACTTGGTAAGTACAGGGCGGAAGTTTGTGAGATGGCTTGTCCTGTCCCAGACATAGTCTGTGGAGGAGAAGTTGGCATTGATGTCATCGACACAGTTATGGGTTTGGTCGATGCGGGTATCATATCGCATAGAGAAAGTCTCCTTCTTGTCTATAGCAGCGTAAGTAAATCGAGATGTATGGCTGGTCGGATTGCCTACCTCTTGTTTCCTGATTGTTGATCTGCGTGCTGCCAACGCCGTGATAACCACAGAACTTGCCCGCCTTGTCAAACGAGACCCGGTCCTTGAATTCTTGCTCTTGGTTGAAAAAGGTCTTGATCTGTTCGAGGGCTTGCTCAATCAATTCCTGAGGAATGCCGTGGTTGGATACGTAAAAGAAGCCAGTGTTCTCAGCAGCAGCTTTGATTTTGGTGGCGATGGCCTTGCGCGCGGTCACATCCCCGTCAAGTGAGCTGAGGTCGATGACGGGCATTTCATCCAGGGTCGGGGTACGGGGCGCCCCACAGCGTACACGGCGGGAAACAGGCCCGTCCGGTGTCATCAGCTGCACCGTTGTAAACGCCGAGACGGGTGCTGTGGTCTCAATTGTGGTAGTAGCCATGGTTGTTGTTCTTGATCACGAAGAATGTAGATTGCAGGTGATGAGATGAGGTTGCCAGAGATGATAGCAGCTCAAAGTGGGGAAGTTAACGATGAATGACGGCTAAGAGCTCGACTCAGCGAAGAGAACTTCACTACTGTTAACTCCGCTATTAATGCTTAGAGGACTACTATCAGTAACAGGCCTGGAATTGGCGACTTGATATAAGATATCACCCGAGCGTTTGATGTATTAGAGTCGTCGAAGCTGCGCAATATTTGCTCAGCTGTAGGTTAGGCACAAGACGGAGACCGTCGGAGATGGGGACCCATAACTACCGACGGGGCCATCCGTGGCGGAGTTCCCCGTTCCCCTATCGCTTGCGGTTCCCAGTTGAGCCCCACAGAACTCGCGATTGTATTGGCTACACGGAGCGGGCACTGGCTCTGCAATCTGATACGCGTGGCTATCTTTTGCGGGCACAGATAACAGCGTCACTAGTGTAACTACCCTGACCGGCGACCGTCGGACATG